CCAAAAATAAAATTAACATCATTTACGTTTTATTTTACAAATCCTTAATCCCATTTAAATCTCTGTTGCAACACAGTCCTAACAAATGAGAAGTGACATCAGAATTCTCATATTCCACTTATCACCAAAAGCTTATGTCCCAAAACATTCACGTGTTCCACATTAGGTCATGTTCCACATCCATTTACTAATATCGATAAGCACGAAACATTTTAATAAGTTCCATAACTCATGCTTTTCTAACATTCTCCCTAAAGATGCTAAAAGTGTACATATAATCAACCATAAATGATTGAGCACAAAATTGAAAAATAAGTGACAATGGATCACATAACCTAAACAAGANCATTTTTTATAATTTATTTCAATAATAAAATAAAAAAATATTTTTGATTTTCTGAAAATTAATTTTAATTGCACATAAAAATCAAGAATATTTCAAGGATCCAGTTGCAATTTTTGAAATTTTTATTAGAATAATCAACTTCCAAAAAATAATTTTGGGACCAATATGCAACATGAAATTTTCCAAATTGCATTTGGAATAATCAGCATTCAAAAGTGTGGGGACCAACATGCAATTTTCGAAATTACATTTGGAATATTTAAGGGACCACTAAGCAATTCTCTCAAAATTGAATTTGGAATCATTCACCTCCTTGACAACAGTTCAAGTTTCAGCAATTTTTTTTTCGCGGGTTACTTTCATCATCAAAGAAAAATTGCAGTTTTTTTTCAGATTTCTGTCAAAATTTAAAAAGGCCATAACTTCTTCAATTCAAAGCCAAAAAGTATGTTCTTTATACCATTGGAAATGTATCGAGAAGATCTATCAATCCATACCAAATGGGAATCATTAAACATAGTGTGGAAGAAGTTGTCATGTGATTAAGTTTCGGATTTTATCGATTTTAATGTAAAAAATCAGATTTTCATCCAAAACTTCGAATCCTCATAACTTCTTCATTTTAAGTCCAAACTTTGAGTTCTTTATATGGATAGAAAGCTTATGAGAAGACATTTCTAACCATACTAATCTTACTACATGAGGATGAACGAGCACAAGTTTCTGCAATTGTATCTACGGTTTCGTTTTTCTCCAAATTTATAAAACCCAAAATTTCCAAACTTTGCAAATATGATCTACATCATATAAGGAATATGTTGTAAAAAAATCATGAATTTATGTTGCATATTTCATGACATGCGATTAACAATGCTTCAAGTTTCAACAAAAATGGCATACATGCATTTTTCAACATAATAATTCCATTTACAGCAAAATAGTATGCAAGGAAAACAACTTTTACGTCTATGATACCAGTGTAAGAATTTGCAACATTCTTTAACATGAATTTTGGGTCAAGAAACTTACTTGAAATGATGAATTTCAAGATCTTTTGATGGTTGAATCACCTTGCAATCCAAATCTCCAAAATCTGCATTTCTTGTTCTCCGATGGTCCCAAGCCCGATCACAATGGAGGGGGATTATTATCCACAATCTAAGTGTCAATTTTTGTGTGATTTCATGTCTAAAATATGGTTCTTTCCCTCTTTTTCCAATGCATATTCATTGGAGGTTATAGGGAGTTAAGGGTGGTTTGAGAGTTGTATGTTTGAATTTCAAGTTCAAACTCCCCCCAACCATTTTAATAACTTGTGGGTCGGGTCATCCCACATGGGCGACCCACGACCCCATATTTTTCTAACAGTTCATTTATTATCACCAGATATATTGTTATCATTAGCAACAAAGTGGCGGGCTGTGTTCGTTGTTGTATTCATTATATGAAAAAACCAGATATAAAAGAATTAGAACTTTGTGATAATTAAGATAAGGTTCAGTAAACATAAGGATTAATATTTTATAACTTACGCAATAAAATAGGTAATTGTGCATTTTAATGTGTTTCCAATTATTTGAATTTGGAATAAGGATATTTCGGGTCTTATTTAAAAATATGTTTAACTTAGTGCATGGGAGATAATTGGATAAAATTGGGGTTGTCAATATACACAACAAATTAGAATAAAGAATAAATGTCAAGAATTGAAACAAGAGAACAATAGGTAGAGTCAGAATTCTAACACACTTTTCTCGTATATAGTCTTCATAAAATCATTATTCACGTGTAATTAGATAGAAAAAATAAGATATTAGTAGTAAACAATAAAAATATCATTTTATTCATGTGAGTCGGTTATATTTAAGTTTGATTTCGAATCGATATAAGTTAAGATAAACTCTAGTCCTCGTGCGAACGATACTTTTATGCTTTAAAACTCAAATTATATTTTAATATTTTTTACATATTCTTTAAAGATTACATATTAAATATCAATGGAATTACAAACGGAAGTCTTCCGTTGGTACAATTATGTTGTTAATCCGTTGATAAAAATAAAAAATAAATTAAATAATTTATCAACAGATTTTCCAACAAATGTCTCCGTTGGAAACAATATAAAAGAATAAAGTAATTACCAACAGAGAAAATTTGTTGGTAAACTGTTTAAGTAAACATAACAAATTATTGAATAGTTACCAATTGAAAAAAAATCCGTTGGAATATTTTTTGAAAAAAAAATTTAAACATTTTTCTACTGAAATATTCGTTGTTAATTTCAAGAAAACTTACAAGTATCAATTAAAATTTATAGACTAAATATAGTCCGTCGATAATGTTTAAAAAAATATTTAAAGTGTTTATCGAGCTTTACAAAATTCAAAATAAATCATTTCGTTGACAAGAAAATTGCGAAAAACATGAAAACAAATTGTGAATTAATGTGAAATGTTATGGAAAAATGGGCAATATGTTGAGTACATACATTTTGCAATTCACAACAAAATTCTATGTTATAATAATGAAATATAAATTTCATTTTTATATTCTAAAAATTTGAAGTTTGGAACAGAAAAAGCAAAATTGTAGAAAATTGTGAGAATTGGTGAATAATAATATTTTTTCCTCAGAAAGACCTTTTATCAAATACTTCGTATTTATCGCACTAATATGGATTTGTTAATTGGTGTATTTTAATAATTTTAACTTTTTTATTATGTTTATTTCACAATAAAACATATTAATAAAATAATTAGTGGCATTTTTTTAATTGTAATGCAAACTTTCGACAGAAATATTGTTGTAGAAAATTTGAAACAGATGCATATATGTTCCTATTTAGCAATGAGTAGTCCCATAGGAAATATATTGGTAGTTAGACTTTAAAAAAAATCGAAGATTAGTAGCTATTTATGAACAAGTAAGCGTTCGAAAGTTCCTTTGCTAAAATTAACTAAAATAGGCATAGGTAATGAATGACAAATGGATTAGCGACAAACAATTTCTTCTTTAATTAGCTACGGAAACACTTCATTGGTAAATAGAAACAATTTTTTTGTCTCTAATTATCAACGACCAAATAAATCTGTGGATAAATTAGCGGTGATTTTCATTGGTAAAAGCTACTACCAAAAAAATTTAAGTCATCATCGATGG